CTAATGAGCAACCCTGTATATTCGAGCCCAAGAGGCCCGTTAAGGTTACAAATTAGATCAGAAATTAAGCTAACGATTCGGACAGTGAAATTTATTATGGCACAGGGGTATCTCCACCCTCTGCTGACTATGGGAAGGGCTGACAGGGGCGACGATCGTGGCAACGCGCTGTACTAATTATAGGGAACTGAAAACCTTTGACATTTGACCTAATCTACTAACGAGCTATCGGCTGGCATTCTGTTACTTGGTTCAACGAATCGGATTTATTTGTAGCGCATAAATGGATATAAAATAAACCCTGTGTTGCTGTCGCAAAAAATTCAACTAAATTTGCGCGATAAAACACTAAACCACCAGCAGAACGGCTAGAAGTTTATGGTAAATTCTGGACTAACCGATGACGATTAATGAGCGCCCCCAAGAGCCAAAAGAACCATCTACTTTGTTTAATAAGTTTGAGGCCGTTGTTCGGTTTCCGCAATAAAAATTCCTCGAATTTCGGCCTTTGGTCCTTTTCTTTTTTGCAGGAAATGTTTCTCCCCGAACAATTTCGATGGAAATTCCTGAGAACCGTAAGCAGATGATCGCGAATAGTCTGAATATTGGTTATCTTTTGTTCTCTGTCGGTGCCGGATCCCTTGAGAAGGAATCCTGCTTCCAGTATACGCGTTGACTAGCGGTAACGTAAAGAAATTGAGTTCTACACGAGACAATCCGAACGAAAATCGCAACAATTGATGGTTTTTGGCCTTTGTTTCAGACAATTGTGCCTAATGCACGTAAAATCTTTTGGCGAAACTTACCTGAGTTTGTGTTAATCCTAAGCTGGCAGCCAATTCGGCCCGTTCGGGCAGGGCCAGATATTGTGTGCGTTGAAATCGCCGATTTAGTTGCTGTAGTTGAAGACTTGAATAGATTGTGCGCGGTTTCCTCATTTTCTTCCCTTTTCCGCCTCCTGAAGGCCTTTCCAGCGATAAACATTTTTCTGCAACAATTTATCAACGATTAAAACCTAATGAGCAACACACAATTACAATTCGCTTAGCTACTTTGGCGTGTATCCTTTTAGAGGTTAGGTTTTGCTTTAAAACTAATTAAGTAAAATACAGTTCTCCATCGAAAATCGTCATTTAGTTGCAACAGTTCCCGAGTACACACGCCTAAGCTTGCCGAGCCCTTTAAGTGTTAACATTTTTATTTCTACCTTTTTATAGGTTAGGAATTGGCGATAAAACTTCAAAAGAAAAAGATAGTTATCAAGATTTTCTATCGAAAAGCTCTTTGCGGGTTTTTACATATTTCCAACAGTTTCCGAGATACAAACGCTTGAACTTCCCATATAGACATTTTTGCTCCTATCTCTTTTGAGGTTAGGAACTGGCTTAAAACTTAAAAAGAGGAAAATAGTTCTCAAGGTTTCCTATCGAAAAGCTCTGTGCGGGTTTTTACATATTTGCAACAGTTTCCGAGATACAAAAGCTTGAACGTCCAATATAGACATTTTTGCTTCTATTTCTTTATTGGTTAGGAGTTTCGCGTAAAGTCCAAATAGTCAAAGACTGTTCTGGAAGCGCTCAATCGAAGTGCTTCTTAACTTTGCACAGGAATTTTTTACTGTTTCGGACATGTGAAGGAAAATCTCCCGCTAATTGTAAACTTCTGCGTCTATCTCTTTTGAGGTTAGGAACTGGCTTAAAACTTTAAAAGAGGAAAATAGTTCTCAAGGTTTCCTATCGAAAAGCTCTTTGCGTGTTTTTACATATTTGCAACAGTTTCCGAGATACAAACGCTTGAACGTCCAATGTAGACATTTTTGCTTCTATTTCTTTATTGGTTAGAAATTTCACGTAAAGTCCAAATTGTCAAAGACTGTTCTCGAAGCGCTCAATCGAAGTGCTTCTTAACTTTGCATAGGAATTTTTTACTGTTTCGGACATGTGAAAGAAAATCTCCCGCTAATTATAAACTTCTGCGTCTATCTCTTTTGAGGTTAGGAACTGGCTTAAAACTTAAAAAGAAGAAAATAGTTCTCAAGGTTTCCTATCAAAAAGCTCTTTGCGGGTTTTACATATTTGCAACAGTTTCCGAGATACAAACGCTTGAACTTCTAATGTAGACATTTTTGCTTCTATTGCTTTATTGGTTAGAAATTTCGCGTAAAGTCCAAATAGTCAAACACTGTTCTGGAAGCGCTCAATCGAAATATTTCTTAGCTTTGCATAGGAATTTTTTACTGTTTCGGACATGTGAAGGAAAAGCTCCCGTTAATTATAAACTTCTGCGAATATCTCTTTTGAGGTTAGAAACTGGCTTAAAACTTAAATAGAGGAAAATAGTTCTCAAGGTTTCCTATCAAAAAGGTCTTTGCGAGTTTTACATATTTGCAACAGTTTCCGAGATACAAACGCTTGAACTTCTAATGTAGATATTTTTGCTTCTATTTCTTTATTGGTTAGAAATTTCGCGTAAAGTCCAAATAGTCAAAGACTGTTCTGGAAGCGCTCAATCGAAACATTTCTTAGCTTTGCATAGGAATTTTTTACTGTTTCGGACATGTGAAGGA